AGGGTATCTTAATTCTTACCTAAAACACAAGAGGAATGGAGTGAGGCTAGAACTAATGGATAAAGAAATGACAGTTACATACTAGGATCGAGGGCTGTTTGGACAATATTCATGTTTTTTCTGTCATCAGATATGATTATGAGCAGTCTCATTTTTATTGATTCATTATGGTCACAATGACATTGGCTGATGGTGGTGTTCAGTGAAATTGTTTATGTTCAACCAGGAACTACCACAGCCTAGTTGTGAGTTGCAAGGCAGCTTTGAGGCTTTGAGGGCCTGCTTTTCTCTTTCTTAGGGTTAAAAATAAAGGTAAATTCTATTATTTGTATGAATAGGATATAGACACATCCAAAACATTCAATAGCAGCTGTATGTAGACAAGGCTGAAAGTCAGCTCAGTATAGAGAAATAAGACAAGAATTACTGTTCCTGTTTAATTGTTAGCTCAGTAATTATTAGCTGTGTGGACCTGACAATAACAATAACAGTTTCCATTTATTGAGCATCTACTATGTGCCGTAGACGTTATGTACTAGGTGCTTTACACACAACTTTGCAAGGTATATTTTGATCATCCCCATTTTACAGATACATAGTCAATAAGTAACATTTCTAGAACCAACTAGTTAACAGTATTAAATGGAAGAGCTGGTATACTAATGGGATTTGCCCATTTGGAACCCATTCTATTTCGACTATACCAGGATGTCTCTGTGAACAAAGTTCTCTGAAAAGGAATTTGTAGGAAAGAGAGTTTATTCCAGTGAACAGTTTGCAAACTGGGAAGGTGTTAGCTTTTGGTGTAAAACGAAGATACATTCCAGAGAACAAAAGGAGGCCTCACATTTTAAGGCAAATGTTCCTGCCCAGGTCCGCAATCAGGTCCGCTTATGCAAATGATGAGCTAAGCGAGTTCTGATTGGTTGATACAGCTGATCCCTGATTGGCCCAGGCAGGGGAGCTCTGGTTGGTTCAGGTGAGCTCTGGAGTCACAAAGTTGAAGAGAGGTGTGGGTTTTCAGGGAAGTCGGAGTACGTGTGTGTGACCTCTAGTCAGCACATGGTTGCTTGCTGTATTTTAAATCTAGGTCCAGTTAGCCACTTGGGATCCATCTTGAAGGACTGGCTCTTTTAGGTTCACATTTGTTCACACGTGCCTCATTCAGAACTTTGGTGTCTGTAGGTATAGCAATGGAGATATAATATACACTTTCCAGGATTGTTCTGAAACTCAAATGCTGTCATACATCTGATAGCACCTAGCACAATAACTGGCTCGTGGTAGCTAAGCCATTTTAAAAGTTTGCTTTCCTTCACAGGTGCCTTTAATTGTTGAGTACAGATGCTTTGACTATATTGAGGCTGTGGAGTGATTCTAGATGATATTAACCTCTTGATATTTACCTCTATTAACAGAAGTCAGGCTGAAGGGAATCTCAGTATCACAGAACCACAGAATTTTAGAGACCAAGAATTGTTATGGTCATCTCTTACAGATGGGGAAAACGAAACTCAGAAAGGCAGTTGATTTGCCCAGTGTCACACATTTAATTACTGCCAGAGCTAGGCCGAGAAACCGGGTCTTCTCACTCCTAAGCCCTTGCGCTTTTCGGGCCACACAGCTGCCTCTCGTCGTGAAGTCTAAAGTCCTAGAACGCTCTGAGTCCTTGATTTATGCTCACTGGTTGCCCTTACAAGGTTAAGTAAGGGATCACTGCTGACATTTCAGGTCTGAGGCTGCAGAGGTCTGCACTTGGACATAAGTGGGAGGGAGCCTCTCTCCTCGTTATAAAATCTTACAGTTAAAAGTTTCGAAGAATGTTTTTATTCAGTGCAATTGGCATTTATTCAGTGCAACGTAAGCATTTTCACACCGGAGCATTATTTTCCGGAGCCAGTTAGCGCTCCAGTTCCGCACCTCGTGGGGAGGACGGGGGAGGGGCGGCAGGATCTCCCTATACTGCCGCAGACCTGGGTCCCGACCTCGCGGCCCAGGTCTGCGGCTCCGCCCCGGGAGCGGGACAGGGGCGGGGCGAGCGCGCGGGCGCCGCGGGCGGGCAGGAAGGAGGAAGGGCCGGGCGCCGGGCGCTGACGAGCGGGCGGCTTCGGAGCGGCTCGCGCCATGTCCACGCACAATCAGGGCACCGAGCTCGGTAAGGGGCCCGCGGGTCGCCCCCTGTCCTCTCCACCGCGTCTCGCACCGCCCGGGGCCCTGGGCGTGGGTTCCCGCGGCGTTCTCGCCGGGGCGGGAAGAGGTGGCGTCGGGTCCGCACCCACCCTCAGCGGAGGCCGAGCCCGAGAGACTTAATTCTTGGGCGCAGCGACGCCGCCTGCCTTTGCACCCAAGCTTGATTTTTGTAAGCGGAAGTGAGAAAGGATTAGATTTTCGTCTTCCAACCTATTTATTCACTCTCTAGCTCCCTGGCTGCTGAAAAACAAACAATAACAGCAGAAAACCAATAAACCCAAACAAAACCAGATAAAAACCTTCTTTCTCCTTCCTCCTAGCAGAGTACCTGCGCGATTTAATGCTGGATTTCTGTAGATAATTTTAACACAGCTGTATCCCCAAAGTGGCCGTGCTGGTGGAGAAGTTGTCAGGTTTCTCTGTGCCACAGTATAACATTGCAAGTGTGATTTTAGATGTACAAAGATTTTAAAAGCGCCTGTATTATTTCACCGTATTTCCTCTTACTAATGTTAGTTCAAATACTACTGGCAAGAAAACTTGGTTTAGATTTCCTAAAATGTGAAAAATTTGTAATTCAAACAGCAAACCCATGGTCAAGCCAAAGGTGAAGCATCTAAGTTTAAGTATTATAGCTTGGATATCTTTGTATCCTGAATCTTTAACTTCTTACCTTTGTGACTCTGAGCAGATTAAGCCCTCCGTGCTTAAGTTTCTTCATCTGTAAAATGGTACTCACCTCATAAGGCGGTTTAGAAATTAAGTAAGAGGATGCTTGTAAAGTGCTTGGTACTTTGTGGGCACCTAGTTAGTATTAGAATAATACATGGTTGTTTTTAGGGTCTAAGTTTGAGAAATTAGCTATAACTTGTATGTAACACATACTGGTACTTTTTTTTTCCTTCGTGAAAGTGACTGTTTTAATTAAACAGTCTAGACTTCAAGAGGTGTTCTGGAACTTTTGTCGAATGGTAAGAGAGTAAATCTGTCTTTATAAATAGTTGATTTTCTCATCTAGTTGATTTGGCGTTAGTCACTGTCTTGTAGCAGATTATGTTTTAAACTGTGGTCCTGTCTCTGGAACGTGGACTTCAGGAATAGAGGCCTATTACCTAGAGTGGAAGATCCTTGAACATGGCGGATGGAGATGAGGTGGCGCGTCTTACTTGGTATCCCTAGGGATATGTCTGGGTGACTGTACACGTAGGGGATGTGCCCTAATTTTCCAAAGCTCGTTTTTCTTTCTCTTTCAAGAAATACAATTAAATCATTTTTGATTTCTTTATTTGCAATAATTAGAAT